TAAAAATGATTTCTTTAACCTTTTCCACTTTCATCTTAACGTTTTGAATGAAATATAAAATTATTTATAATTTAATTATATTATATATGAATTATGTGTTATGAAGAGCATATTTGGTATATATGTACATATATCAATTGTATATAAAATATATTACGCGTTTGTTCATTAAAAATAATTATTAATTAAATAAAAATAATTCGTATACGTTATATCTCTTACCTTTATTACGATAAATCATGGCGTCAGCAAATCTGTATTCAAAATCACCGAATTGACTGATAATTGTCAGGGCGCCCTCTGCATCTTCGAAATAATTTCTGAAATCATCTAATGGGAAAGAAAATCAAAGATTTAAAACAAATGTATAAGAGCGAAATTAATTACACCAAGAAAAAAAAAAGAAAAAGTAAACGAACTCAAATTCTGTCTCAAAACCATATGACAGAAGCTATTGGAAAATAAAAGTATGAAATACATGCTTAAGGGAAAAAGAACAAGAAACTACATATGCATGTATAACTTCGTGATAATAATATCCAAGAAACTATTATATAAACACGTACTTATTAAACAAGGGTAATAATAAACAATAAACAGTAATAGAATATCCAGAAAAATACTATGTAGTCGAAATCACTTCAAACAGAATAATACATATTGACGCATAAATTTTCGTGAGCAGAGTGATTGTCCGCGTTAGAGCTTCGCCTAGACAATCCCTTATTGGATGGATGGTGCGCGACTGCTTTCGCGCAACCGCGCGAAAAATTGAAATATTAACGTCATAGATATTTTCCTAATCAACGAATTATGAAATCTGGGACTAGGAGCAATGACAAATTTTCAATATTTCCCTTTTTCCTCCTTAGAAGATGCATATACGTACATGAGTAAAGCATTTCCTGAAAAAGATCAGAAATATATCCAATATTTTCGTAGTGCATTGTTTAAAATTCAAACAAATGAAATTGAATAATGAACAGAGAAGATAATTAAAGATGATATTCTCTTTGATATGAAATAAAATTATTTATTAGTAGGAAATTGTAATAGTACTTTATACATATGTTTATATTATTTTTTTGTTGCAATAAGATGCAGTATCCAGTAATTTTCTCTCGAACGACACAACCTAATAGTTAAATATAGCATAAAAGATAACAAGAGAATCTTTCTTTACATTTTTACCAGTTTAATTTACCAATTTCGTACTACTCTACGAATTACCGCTAGATGACGCGCGTATTTTGTTCCAGCCAGTTCTAATTTTTAGAATAATATTGGAAACGTTGGCCAACCTGGTTACTTAAAGTTCAATAAGCGGTATTTTCTTGAAAATTGTTAAATTTATTTTACATTATAATAATATTAAGACAAAAATATATAAATTAATAATTATAAAAAATATTAATTTACCTCTTTTATTGTTAAAAGTTAATTTCCCGCGATATTTGTGTACAATAAAAGTTTGTTGTATAAAGTATACGTAATTTGTGTGCTTCTTTTTATGTTTTTCTTAATATAATTTATAATTAATAATTTACCCCAGCATCTTTTTGTTTTAATTTTATTTGTAAAAACAAAATTCTATAAGCCAAACAGAAAATACACGCAGATACCAGCGTCTCCTTGCGGAAGATTCTAGAAGTAAAATCAGCTGACCCTGTCTTCCAAGCGTCAAATGCGTATTTATAAATAGTGTACCGAGTTCATCGGAAGCCGAAGTTACTTTTCAATAACCAAACATCAAAATGGTTGATATGAAAAGTAATGTGAGTTTTGCGTGTCAACGATGTCTACAACCTCTCAGACTAGATCCAAGTTTTTATCATCTCGGAGAACACACGCTAGCCGAACTTTCACGTAGGTAATTTCTATTTCGAACTATATGACTTTATAAGTTTCATTGCTTATTTTATCTCTATTAAGAAGAAAAATGAGATAACATTTTTCCTCGTAATAGTATTTTTAAATTATGCTATTCTACGACTTTTTATGATTTATTTATATCTTCAGAGTGATCATATTCACCATCAATATTTTATTTATATTAATTTATATTAATTTAATTTAATTAATATAGTTCCCATTCAACAACATGTGGTGGGTGAGCTAGAGCCCCAAAGTGGAAGTATGGAACATTTAGTGCCACCATTCAAATTAACTGAATCTGCAAATGGAACAAATGGATTCATGTTAGTTGGGGACTCTGGGGAAACAGAAAGTTTAAGTCATCATTTAAAGGTATTTAAAATTTATACTACTTAGTTACGAGAAATATTAATGGAATTTATTTGTTGAAGGTACGGGCAACATTGTTTGATATCCTTAGTAGTAGTAGTTGTGCTGATCATCCACTCTGTGATGAATGTACGGATAGTCTTTTATTATTAATGGATCAACAACTGAGAATGACTGAAGGGGAATGGTCAGATTATAATGAGTACTTAAAGAAATTAGAAATAGAGCAACAACATCAGGGTCATGAAGATATAGAAATGGAAACTCTCACAAAAGAATTGCAAGATGTAAAATCTGAAGAAGAAAGAATGATAAGCGAATTAGAGGCATTGAGAAAGGAAGAAATTGCTACCAGAAATGCCATAGCTCAACAAGAAAGGGAAAGGGAAAGGTTACAAAGCGAAGAAGAAAGGTATTGGAAGGAATATTCAAAACACAAAAGAGATCTCATATTAGCAGAAGATGAATACCGTAGGTAATAATGACAAGTTGTTGCATTAAATATACCTTTCATATTTCTGTTTCATTAACAGTAATAATTTTATTTAGCTTGGAGTGTCAGTTAGCTTATGCTGCTTCACAACTAGAGAGACTGAAGAAAACAAACGTTTTCAATGCTACATTTCATATTTGGCACTCAGGACACTTTGGAACTATAAATTCCTTTCGGTTAGGTAGATTACCAAGTGCACCAGTAGATTGGAGTGAAATAAACGCTGCTTGGGGACAGACCACTTTGCTATTAACAGCTCTTGCTAGAAAAATGAATCTCACATTTAAACGTTTTCGTTTAGTGCCATTTGGTAATCACAGTTATATTGAAGCTTTAGATCAACACAGAGAACTACCATTATATGGAAGTGGAGGATTTAAATTTCTATGGGATACAAAATTTGATGCAGCAATGGTAGCGTTTCTTGATTGCTTGCAACAATTTAAAGAACAAGTGGAAAAAGGAGACAGTGGATTCTGTCTTCCATATAGAATGGATCGTGGAAAGATAGAAGATTCTGCAACAGGAAACTCTTACTCCATCAAGTAACTATTGTTTATATCAGTATGATTTTTTCAATTATATCTATTTGACGAATATATTCTATGTTTTGCGTTTCAGAATACAATTTAATTCAGAAGAACAATGGACCAAGGCATTGAAATTTTTGTTAACGAATTTAAAATGGGGCCTTGCTTGGGTTAGTTCCCAATTCACAAAAGATGAGGCTGAACATTAGCTTCATGTTAATTTATGCAAATTCATCCAGTCTTGATACATCTCTCTTACACTCATTTATGTACATACACGTTATTTGTAAATAAACTCAGTTAAAGGATAATCCTTTTATTTAGAGTCCAATCAGTAATAGTTATTTTGAACAAGTTTGAAAGATATTTGATTCTAAGTTAAGAACAATGTTGAGATTTATTAGCTAAAAACCAGGTGACACCATATAATAAACAAGGTGGACTTTGAACTTCCTTAGAATTGATGTATTCTTTTACTTCTGGGATGCTTAGTTCCACCACTTCGATCAGTTCACCTTCAGATGCAGCACCCCCTCCTTTAATTTGACGAATTACTCAAACTTATAAGGATAAAAGACATAAGATTTTTTCAAAAACATTTTATTGAACATTATAAATTTATTTAAAGCTTGTATCGTTATTTCTAATATAATTTTAGAAATAGAGGAATATTGAAAACAAATATATTTATAATTAAGCTTACCAGGATGTGTATGCATCTCATCTGTAACTTCCACGTAAAACAGTGTATGTTTGCAGACTGAAGTGGAAACATACCTATAATCAACCCACAATAAAATAAATAACCAAAATATAACAAATTATAAATGACATATATTTATTGTTATTATTATTATTATTTTTAATAAAACTTTCTACATATGGACAGAATAAAAAGGTACAGCACATGTGCGTATACAGACACTATGACATTTCACTTATTATCTCTTACATCACGAAATGAAATATTGACAACTCTTTACTCTACAACTTACTCAACAAAATTTTAAAATTTCAATAAATGCTTGCCATTAACACACCTGAAAGTAATGACATATTTAAAGGCTTCTGTTGGCACTTCGTATCCACATTCTTCTCTTACTTCATCTTTCGCAATCTCGACAAGTGGTTTATCTTTATCCACAATACCGGCGCAAAGTTCCAAAGTTAAACCCAGTGATGGTGGATATTGTTTAAGATCTACCGGGCCTTGTTTCTCCGGAAGAAACGTATAAAAGAATGCTGGGCGATATTGTCGAACAAACACTAGTTTCTTTCGGCTGATGTTGAAGATAATTATACTCACACCATCATGTGCTCTTACCACATCCCAATCTTTCTGTTCGCCATCTTGTTGGTAATGTATCCGAACGGGTCTGATCCACGGTGAATCCGACGGACATTCTGCTATACGTAATTGTTGCACATCGAGTATTCTTCGACGTATATTTTTATTTTGCTTCTCTTGTGCCTTTATATCCATTTCTTATGCGCTATAGAAACTGATTATTCGATTTAATTCAACCGTTTAACTCCCGTCGGTAATATTTCGATGTACATGCGCGCTGAAGACCTGCAGATGCCGCACTCAATACCAAACTGAAATGCGCAGTCTCAAACTTGCATTAGAATAGTTTCAAGTTCAAGTAACATTCATAAATCATTCCACTATCTGTGTTAGGTAAGATAAGAATATATCAAACGGTATTAATGTATTCTTTCCAACACTCTGTACCATTGTTCAAAAAGTTTCTATCTATTCTATGCTGTAATCATATCGTACGTTTCAAATTTCACTATTCAATGTTCGGTTTTAGACGAATTCTTTTTAACTCTTTTATGACTCTTTTTTCAACTTCTTTTCCCTCCTGGGTCCTCTTCTAGCCTTTCTCCTAAACTCTTCCGCTTTGTACGCGTCTATAATTTCCTGCTGACGAACCTGGGTATCGACGTGAACAACATCAGGCTTTTTACGATACCTGGTTACAGCTGCGGGAGGAGAGAATTCAATTTCCATATCAGACGCCGTCGAGCTAGACGTGATAGAAGCATCGTCCTTGTTCTTCACGATTTTAAACTGCAGCGGTTTCATTGGCTCGGACAAACAAGGCTCGGCAGATGTCTCTTGCCTAATGGGATACATCGTTACATAGTAAGTGCCATCTTTCCTGTGAATATGTAAAGTCGGTGGAGATCCCGATCCTTCATCTTCTCCCTCCATCTTCGATTGCTTCTGCATCGACTGGTAACTCATAGTTCTTCCGGCTCTCTGTCTTCTTGTGCCACTCTTTGGCCGCGAAGGTGCTGATCTCGCGCGTTCTATTATTCTGGTGCGATCAGTTTTTCCACGATCGATTTTTACGCGATCGAGTCTTCCACGATCGGTTCTGCCACGATCGGCTCTTCCACGATCGACTTTTCCTCGATCGGCTCGAGCACGATCAGTTCTTTCTATTCCTGCTTTTTCTTCTTCTATTTCATCCATAGAGACATCCTTCGCATCTTGCAGCATTTCGTACAAATAGCGGCCAATGGCACCCGGCCTCCAACCAATGCGCGGCTTCAATTTTCCCGCCTTGTCCATCGTGTTCCATAACCAACCCATGTTAGCCGGGACTCTCATGGGTATGTCGATACAGTCTCTGTGACCGAAGTGAATCCCAGGATAATAATCACCAACGAAGTAGACGTATCGCATTACTCGTCTGCTGACTGGAAATGCCGGTTGCGAGGTCATAATACCTGATCCAGCTACATAGCGATCACCACCAGGTCCTAGAGATCTTTCCCTTGCACTTCGTCGAATCACCGTCTTAGCATCATGGTGCTGATCGTGTACTGCTTCGTGTACTGCGTCCTGCTTCGAGTGCGGACTACGGCGCTTCAAGTCCCGTTTGGATCCTTTCTTCGTTTTACGACGGGCTTTTGGCGCGGTAGCGGCGGCACGCTTTACACCGGTCCGCGTCTTAGAAAAGACATGAGTGCTACTCTGGGTCGCGCTACCATTATCTGGTGGCTTCTTTTTCCTCGATTTGCATCTCGGTTCACCGCAAGGACCCACCTCCGAGTCCATCAGCGCGGACGACGTGGCTTCGAGCTCCTTCTGTTTGTCCGTTTTCTCGTCCTTCTTCTCCTCCTTCTTCCTATGTTTTACAGGCGCGGTTGGTAAACCGGCCTCTGGTAAAACAGGTATAGCCTCGCGGACGATTCCCAACCGAGGCGGCACGATTCCTCGTGCAATCGAAGGCGAGTAAGCAGCAACTTGAGGACGCATATCGTCCATAGGTTTGATGCTACAGGGAGCGGTGCAAGTAGGAGTCGTTGTCGCTACTGCTGGTTGCGAAGTCCCATGTGGTATCTTCCTCTTCGATGCTAGTCGATCTGGAGGCACGTAGTCTTTGTTGATATCTCTACCAAAATAAGGACTCTCTGATGGATCCATTAAACCGAGTCCTGGCAATCCTGGTACTTTCCCAATGGAATCTACAAAGTCTTGTGCATCTTTGAAAGCTCGAATCAAGCAATCTATCCCCAAACACGGTGATTTCATACATTTAGCAGCTCCTCTAGGAAATTTGACATCCTTTCCAGGACAAATGCAACCAGGAGTTGTCCCAGTCGACGTTATACGAGGCGTGCAAGCATCGAAGATGGGAATTACGTCGTTATCTCGAGAAGTTGCTTGTGCCGAAACCATAACCGGGCCACCGGAACAGCTGCAGCTGGACATATCTCTATCCTCGCCGCCACCTTCTAGTCGACTTTCCATATTATGCTTTTCATTGTACCAGGGATGATCAGTATCGTAATTGATCCATCTGAAACTAGACGGATCCAGATAAATCTGCTCTACTTCTCCGCCGCCTTTCAATCTAGTTGGTTTACTAGACGAAGAATCCTGTTTCAGAACGTACAACGCAGGCAGGGTATTGTCAACGCAGTAAGTATTGGCTAATGGATCCTCCACGCGTTTGTTCTCGTCCTTGAGTAGTATATCGGGATTTCTTAATTTCATGCAGCAAGGATAAGTACAGCCTGATGGACATATCATAGGATGTATCGAACGATCCTTGGGCAAGCAGCTACACGTCGGCTCATCTGGATAGGCTTTGTATATCAGTTCTCGATATTTGGGATCGTTGAGCTTTTCGGCCATTGTTAGAGTCTTAAAAGCGGGATGATCCATTGGAATACGTGGAGAAGAGTCTGGTCGCTTCAGTAATGATTTATCCAAACCACTTCCATCTTTCGGATCTTTTTCAACCTTTGAACTTTCTGGAAGAATATAAGGACATAGAAATTTTTGAAGTGGTGAGTCCTCCAGCATAAAAGATTTGCCGCTCAGAGAAAATTGCTCGATGATACTGCTTCCAAAACACGATAATCTTAAAACTACGGCTATGTTACCAGACGTTTTCCCACTAGAATCGGTTACATCGAACGAATTTTTTACTGTACATGGCGTAGATAAACCGTTAGTGTCATTTTGTGAAGCAATCACATGCTTACACATACAAGTAGGCAAAGACACTTTTGCGGTTCCCAAAAAAGCACCATTTTTGTTTGAGCAAGCAACGTCTTTACGATACAGGTCTAAATACATAGGTGACCATCTTAGAGCTCTAATCAGGGAATTAGGAGTCTTGGCGAACAAACACGATTTTCCAAATTTAGAATCTCCAGGTGATTTATTATTATCATTTTCTTTACTTTGAGGGACACTTATCTCATACTCTGGCAGATCGACGAATCTCACGCATACGAGTAAATTATCCTTATTAATGTCTATAATTTCGGGACTTAAAGTCACTTGATCGGCGAACACTTCGAGCATATAGAGCTGTTCCTCTTTCGATTTCACAATTTTCCTTTTCAGAGCCATTTTCCGTTTTGTCTTGCTCGATGTTCGTTGCACACGGGAATTTAGAAAAGAATCGCGAACCCGCGGGAACTTCTGGAGAGACTAGCCGAAACGCGCCATTAATTTTGCGGTCGTTTTATGGCCAATAAATTTATATACCTAACCACGCCAATCGGTCAGTTTTGTATTTAATGTGCCTCTTATGATTACCATGGCAACCCATATTAACAGAATTCCTATATCAGGTGATCATCTTATAAATAATTCCCTTGACGCTCTTAATGCTTAATAACGCTCTTAAAAGCTGTTATCTGGCTCGCCTTCCACCCTCTCCACCTTTTCCCTTTCCTTTTCCTTTCTTCTTTTTTGATGGTTGTTCTTTTGCCTTTCCTTTCAGTTCATCAAGAGTCGTTCTATCCGGATACTCCGAAATATTCTTAGCAACGCCTTCCTGATAACTAGATGGTACTAAGCGTCTAACGCAGAACTCTCTTTCCCGGCCCTTATTCCTAAAGGCGAAGAACTTAGGATGTAGTTCATAGTGAGTCATGATCGAGCTACCGAAACACGACATCCTCATTTCCATTTCCAATGTTCCTGAGGGATTTTCGCCAGGATCCAGCAGATTGAAACTACCTTTTACCTTGAACGGTTTTGGCAGATTTTCTGGATCGTTTTGAGCCATTGCTACTTGATCACATAAACAACCAGGTAACGTTATTTCGGTTTCAGCAATGGGATATGTGTCCCCAAGGCGAAACACACCGACTTTCATCGCAGTTGATTGTAATTCTGCTACCAGGTGTTTCGGTTGCTTGATAAACAGACAACTTCTGCCTATCATGAAGTATAAGGTGCCATCCTCGGTTGGTGGTGGTGGTTTCACCGAGTAAAAGTCGTGCTGCGTAATCTCAAATGTGGGGAAATCAAGAAACGAGACCTTCACCGTAACTGGATATTCACCGATGTCTTTGATTTTACTCTTTGTCAACGTCAACTTGTGAATCAGGATTTCGACCATGTAGATTTGATCGTCGCTACCACCGAAACAGGACATCTTGGAATTGGATGGTGTTGAAAATAATTAGCATCGACAGAAGATCCAGAAGAAGGTAGGATGATATTTTATATGTATGTAATAATTCTCATACCGGGAATTTTTGGAGGTTCAGTACGTCGAGAGTGAATGACGGATCGAATGCGTAACAATCGAATCGCGAGTACGATGTATGATTGATGACATCGATGAATTTATACATGTATCTATTTATTCCTACAAATTCTCAGCATCATCGAGTTAGCGCGTCGATGGATTATCTCTTACGACAATTTTCTCCAAGGGGAATCTAAACACCGATACACCAATGACTCTCTTCCTATACTTCGCTTCCGTGTCTATAGATATCCCATCATCAGTCTACCGATAAAAATCGCGTCGACGTATAGTCACGTATATCCCATCTAGCATACGCGACCGTACAGCGTCTCTAATTCCATTGGCAGTTATTACTTAGCTCCCACAGTGGTGTATACTTAATCTTGCGCCGTGAAACAGCTTGCCAGAACCGTTACGAAAATCTAAAGGGAAGCCTCGTCGCAAAACCGTCACTTTTTTTGCTAGCCGCGTGATAATCCCGCTACTCGGTGTCGTCGAGTGTATCCGAAACACCGCGTAATCCCAGGTAGCTCTACACCTTTTACATCCCTATTCTTTCTCATCAGCCCGTGATAATCTGTAATCGCCACCTGTTCGCGAACAAGCTGACCATTTGCGCCCGTTGCAACCTACAGTCATAGGAACCGCGCGATAGTTTCCTTTCTCCTCGGAAGCTAAGACTTTCAGAAGATGCCGAAATGTGAAACAACAACCTTGGAACGATTCGTTCCATTCCGTGGCCGCGGTTTCTGTTCTGGACTCTGGCCACCGAAAGCGACCGACTGGGCCAACGTTAGGATCAGCCGAACACCGAGGGCCGAAGTATGCGCTAATTGGTACGGGTGCACGCACGCACACACGTGAAAGAAGACTCGAATCCTACGTAAAGATCGAGGCAGCCGGAAAGGGGCGACCCAGTCGTATGGTCGAGGAAGGCTTGTAAAGCGAGAACGGAGAGAGAAGAGATATCGTGAATGCGCCGTGGCCTCTGGTTCGGAAGACGCTCTGGAAGCCGACCAGGCAGAAGTAAAATTCCGGACCGGGCGACACGGCGG